ATCAACATTGCTTGTTCTGCTGCAGTTTCTTCTTCCTCCCCTGCATTCACCACATTCTTCCGGTTGCTCATTCATTAATACTCTGATATGTGCATTCATTTCCACCTTGAGCTTTTCAGCAACTGCTTCTGCATCATCGTATCTGTGTGAACGACTTCTGGGCTTCTCCATTTGCTCCCGGAAGCTTCCAGAATCATTCATGCCTTTATCCAGAAGCACTCTCAGCAGACATTTACAGTTTTAATTCATCCGTTGCGGCTTAGATCAATATCATTGCATCAGCAATGGTGAGGGATTTCCAGTCCTGCATTCTGTCCAAATTAGTTTTCATCAAATGCTGATTGAATTCATTCAAATGCCCCCTAATCGTGGGTTACCTCGACGAACCAAGTAACATCCCGGTAAGGGAGCTAACTGAGATTGTGTTTAGAGTAAAAAAATTCATATTCACAGCAAACAGATTCAGGATGGCCAAGAACATTTGTCTATTATTAAAAGAATTTTAAATTCCAACACTTGCTCTTCCGAATAGTTTTTTTACTTCTGGAATGAAGTATTGGTGGAACCACATTATAACCGAGATGGTTATCACCCCTGCCTCTTGATTGTGTCACGACACGGGCGATGAGTTGTGTTTCCATGTTTGAGAATGAGTGGCTTCTTCACTTTATGCACTGTCCGGCTTTATCGTATGCCCTGACACGCTCCAAAAGTAGCAGGCTTGATCTTTCCTTCTGCATTTTATGACTAAGTGCCGCCTCTGAACTTCTGCACATGTAGGTTCTTTTGGCAGAAGGGCCTAGTTTCAACACAATTTATGACTTGCTTTGGAATGTATTTTTCTACTCAGCTGTGGCGAGTGCATGGCAGAATCTTCTTCACTGAATGACATAGCCTTTACAGAAAGTTTATGAGTCTAAATCAGTTCCTGTGTCTGTGAAACCCACCCTACCTGTGGTAAATGGCTTACTGTGTGTCGTTTCAGGGGACTCAGAGCTGGAGCCTTTGTGCAGGCATAATGCTTTCTGGCTTACCATAGTGCTTTCCATTCAGATACTTTATCTGTTCATTTCTTCTCACAAATTTAATGCCATTTCCATCCTAACACTCACTTGCCATCCACTGTGACCATAACTTTTGATTTGAGATGTGGCAGGACAGTTAACACAATTATCCTTTTATTTGTTTTCAGGGTTCTGTTTTTATTTCTATGCGTGTGCGGTAGACAGTGATTACATTTATCTAAGGGAATTGGCATCTGTGCATAACCCACCTTAATTCTTCCTTTCAGCCCTTGACCCTCTAATTAGTACCTGCTCCTTGCAGCTCGATTCCTTTCCCATTTACAAAAGCCTTCTTTCCATTTTCTCATTCAATTATTTTTCCGCCCCTGTATCTTCCCGTACCTTCTTTTCTTGTTCCCTTCCCTTTTGAGAAAGATCTGCCTGCTTCCCCTTACCTGTCTTTTATTTTGCTCTTTATTTATATTTTGGGTTGCTACTATAAGAGAAACCATGAAATATTTAAGCTCACATATCTGATTTATTTCACTTAATATTATGGTCTCAAGGCGCATCCTTTTACCTACAGATATCTCGTTTATCCTTCTTTACAGTAGAGCAGTGCTAAATTGTGTATAAGTGCATTTTCTTATCTATTCATCTGTGGATGGGCATGTAGGCTGTTTCTAAGATTGAACTATTATAAATTGTGCTGCTGTAAACGTGAGTATAGATGTATTGCTATAACACGATGAGTTTAACTCTTTTGGGAAGATATCTAGAAGGGGAATAGCTGGTCAGATAGATTTTTAGTGTTAGTTTTTTTTTATTTCCATAATGGTTGTACTAGTCTACATTCCCACCGATTATGTGGAAGGGTTCCGCTTTCCCTGCAGCCTCACCAGTGCTTGGTATTATTTGACTTCTTGATGATAGCCATTCTTTTTGGAAAAAGATGGTATCTCAGTGTTGTTTTAATTTGCAAGCTAATTCAATTTTCTGTTTATTCACAATTTCACAAATAGAAGATTTGTTCTTTTATGTATCTTTAACAGTTTAATCTCAAGATATTCTTTTCTTATATGTTATTAAGTCAAGAGCTCTCATGTTTTCACTTAAGGGAAACCTAAGTTGCCAGTATTATGACTCTTGCACTTTGGGTCCATTAAAAGCCAAAATAAGGATTACTTGAACATGAGCTCTGTGGTACAGTGACAATTATTCTGATAACCCAGATGGCGATGAAAGTGACTAATGGGCAGGGAGAATATACAACATGGACCCGCTGGACAAGGGATGCTTTATGTTCTGATAGGAAGAACAAAATGACCCAAGAAGTCATTGCTGTATGCAGAATGCTGTGCAATTTAAAATTTATGAATTTTTTTTTGCTCTAAAATTTCCCATTTAATACTTTCAGATTAGGGTCGACTGAGTATAACTCAAGCCACAGAAAGCAAAACTGCAGATAAGTATGAAATATACTGCAATCTCATTTAACTTTATTTTAGAGTAATTGTTCATCAACCTTAGAGATTCAGACTGCTATCTTTAAGATTAAGTTTTCAAAAATGTTTGTTTTTCTCCCTTTTAAATCTTCAACATTTTTTTAAACATTGTGTGTATCAGATTTTCATGGTAGGTGATCATTTTCACTTATTTGTTTTATAACATTAATATAGATATATCTGGCCAAAGGAGAAAGACCTTTCTGACCTCTTAGAGCCTGCCTCCTTTTCTTGACTATTGCCATTGAAATCCCATTGAGAGAGAACACATTTCTTCAGTTCCACAAATTGAGTCCTTCTCTGATATGCCTTACATAATCTGATCTCACAGAATATATTATAATCATCTAATTGTTAAGGTGCTTATTATTTTTAACTCTTCCCTTTTGGAGCAGAACACATTTTCTTTGGTATTAATCTTTTTTTTTTTCATGTAGATGAAACTGAGACCCCAACATTCCTGTACTTTCTTGATCCTCTTCTTCATTCTTTTTCATTCTTTTTCCGGAGAAGGAAAAACAACTGTGCATTTGTAAGTTTGCAAAGAAAACTTGAGTATGCATTCCTGGCCTTTCTTTTCCTCTTCTCATTTTATAGCTAGTTTGCTATAAGAAGCACAAGATCTAGTGAACACCTCCTTACTGTATTTCCATGAAGGCAGGCTGTACATTTCCAGGAATAGATTGTAACTTAGAGAGTGTTTATTTTTGAGTTTCTTTCTTTGGGAAACTACTTCTTACAGATATATGTATTTTCTCCAGTATTAGCTTTTCTAAGAAGTTGAAATGTGGATCTACTGTGTGTTGTACGCTTCAATCTTACTTCTTAATTATTTCAGAATTTAAATTTTGAAAGAAAATCTCGAGGAAATTTGAAGACAAGGTACTTATTAGACTTTCGTCAGATTCTCAACAGCACCTGCATTTCTAGTCCAGTTGATACTGGGTGTTTAAAATTGCTCCGGTCTTTGCTTTCACCCCTAAACCATCTCTGCTGTGAGGTATTACCTGAGTTAAAGAAAGTGCATAACTGTTCTTTCTCCATAGCAGAGCCACAGGCAAAACATCCTCCAAACTAACACCGGGAATTATCTCTGAAATAAAAACCTTACATCTTGGTATTTTTCCACAGCTTTTTCAATTTATTCCAGACTTGAGAATGTGTCTGACCTGGTTCTTTATTACTTCGGAGCTGTCTAATGTCTAGTTCCAAATCTAATGAGCCACCTGCCTACATTCTTCTCCTATCACCAGACATTCCGGTGGCAAACTCTCATGGTATTCAAATGAAAAGAAAAGAAGTTGAATATTTTCTCTGCCACCTCACAGGTTTTCTGTCACTGCCCAATGAAGACCTTTTATCCTTCTTCATCTAGCCAGAAAAGTTGATTCATATCTTGCCTAAACATTTTTTCTCTCCCTTCTGATATGCTGTCTTCTTCTCGTTCTTTTAATATGCTATAAAATATTTCATGTGTGTAGTTGTTAGTTCACTTGGTAGAACATTGTCCATTCATCTTTTCAGCCATCTGTCCATTTAATCATCCACGTGCCAGTACTTTCAGAATGTGCTGTGGTTACAGGGTTGAAAGGATAGGTAATTATGTAAATACGGTTACAGTTTTTGTCATAAACTTATATCTTGGGATTGTAATGAAAAATATATGTTTAGTTTATCCACTAATAGGTAGCTATTTAATGGCAAAATGGCCTGTTTGGCTTTAAATCAATGCATCCAGCATGTGCATAGCATGAAGATATTATAAATGCATGCATATCAAATAATTTAATGTATAAACTAATCAATATAGGTCTCTTTCAGCCTCTGTAATTCCAGAATTTATAATCTTAGTTTCTCAGAAATTACAAATGGAGATTTCCAGTTCTGGTTTGGATCTGTCCTGCAGTCTCAGTCAGTCTCTCTCTCTCTCTCTCTCTCTCTCTCTTTCTCTCGCAGTATGGATGGAACTCAGGACCTTGTACTTGTGAGGCAGGCATGGCACTACTGAGCTAAATCCCCGGCCCCTGTCCTGCAATCTTAAATCTTGACAAAGACCGTGACCTTGATTTGCAGTGTCAACATGTAGAACTCTTGATTCCTCCAATCTTTCAGGCCTTTTCTTTGGCCTATTTATTGGTGTGCTTGGAATAGTTTTTCCATTTGAATAACTTCTACCTATACATTCACCTACCTTTGTTTTTTGTTTTTTTGGGGCGCTGGGGATCGAACTCAGGTCTTTCTGCTTGTGAGGCAGGCTGCAGAACCACTGAGCTAAATCCCCGGCCCTCACCTACTTTTATACTGAAAAATATCCAGAGATTTTTTTTTTCATTGTTAAGACAAGACATCCAATTTAAATGTTTAAACATATTTAATAAACTAAAAATATCATTAAATGTTAAGTAGTCTTATTTAGAAAGCTCCGTTGTGTAACACATTTAAAGAAATGGAAAACCTGCTAAATGATGCCTGTATATTATTTGTTATCCAGGGAATTTGCCAATGGAACTTCCAACTCCACCAGAAACTTCAGTTCCAGTAACATTACCTCCACACAACTGCACAGATAATGAATTTGTCTGCAGAACCGATGGCCATTGTGTTGAAAAAGTTCATAAGTGCAATTTTAGATATGACTGCCCCGACAAATCAGATGAATCATTCTGTGGTAGGTAGATTCTTAAGTTTTGAATTAAGGTTTGAATTACTATAGCCATAAAGTAGATAAAAATACCAGTACAATCTCTAAGTAACGTTGGCTACTGTCAGAATTTTCAGTGAGGCTCAGAGCAATCTGTCAATGTAAGAGTTATTTGTATAAAATGATAGTAGAAGAATCAGCATGCATTTTTTAGGTTATTTTTTGCACTCAAAGGTACTGTATTTACAGACTGTGCTTCACTCTGAGACTGTCATTTACTGCCTCGTTATGTATTTCCCCTTTTGTCTCTACTCCATACACTGTCAAATGGAAATATTTAGAGAGGAAGAATCCAGTGAGTTAGATTAAGTGACTCAGATTTTGCCATCGTCAAAAGTCCCATATAGTGGATATTATGTCAAGAAACTGAGCTGTAATACAGATGAGTCCTTCAACCCCTGTGTCCTGGTAAAACATAATTTTGATTTATTTGTACCTGCCAATTCACAGCCTTTTCTAAGCGGATACAGACAAATTGTTTAATTTACAAATGAAGTTCTCTGCCAAAGATACAGCTGGAGAGCCAAAAATTTAATCTGTGTCCCAATGAGTGAAGGTTGATGTTTACATTCAGACAGTACAGGGAGTACAGTAAAATGCTTGTTTGTCTTAGATCAGCCTTTTCAAAAAAAAATTCTAGGATTTAAGAAATCAAATAAAGTTTATCTTTGTTCTTCTAATCCAAAAAAGTATTCATAGTGTACGAACACACCACAGATTAGGTAATCCAGACCAAAAATATCAAAATCAGAGCTTACTTACTCCATGAATGAAATGGTATAGTAATTAAATCCAGGTAGTCAATGATTTATACTTTGCTACACAAATGGAAAATAGTGCAGTGGAAGGTGTTGTAGGTTTAAGACTTTCTCTTTGGAAGTCATTAGTAAGATTATGTATAAATTTTAATATTTGTAACAGTTTACACAAAACCTAACAGATTATATTAATGAATATTATTAGTGAATACCGAATTTTTTCTTAGTTCAAATTTGTCATTATATTAATGTCATTTATGATTAAATGAGATGTTTTAATAAATTCTTTAAATGACAGGAATGTTCTTACATTATTTTCAAGTCAGAATAATTTTATTTTGAATATATAAGATTGTATTATTGATGTTTCATTTACTAATTGTGTGATCTTGTTTTCTTTTTGTAACATAAAATTTGATAAATCTGTAATTGACAGCTTATATTTTCTAATTGTCTTTAACAGATAAATTTTAAGTGCAGCACATTATTGTTGACTATAAGGACAGTGTCATATAGCAGATCTCTAGGTCTTGTTCTTCCTGTTTGACTTACACTTCAATCTAATTGTCTTTTAAAAGTACACGTCATATATTTTAATGATATGAAGAATGGAATCCTAATAATTGAATCCTGAATCTCCTCACAAAATAAATATATATAATTATTTTTAATACCAGAGATTAAATAACATACCTCAATAACATAATTAAAAATCACTTTTCCATTGGAATTTTTTTCTCAGAATTTATACTACTATAACTCAATACTCAAGTTTTTCAGTGGTGGAAGTGTCATGCCGTCAGAGTTAATGACCCTGAAAGTTGGAATCGGCGTCAGATTTTCTTATGTAGAACTTACCGAACTGAGAATGGAGGCTTTAACATATACTGATAGATACATGCACACATTCAGAGGCAGAAATAAAGAGTTTCGAAAGTGTTTTCATGCAAAAAATCTCAGAATTTAAAAAATTGCTGGACTTGTAATATTAGGACACAATCCTAACAAGAATCTTAAAAGCTTTTAAGGAAACATGGTCAACACAAGCTTATTGTCAATCAGACTTCTTTGAAGTTAAGTATTTTGGAATTATTAATAACACTGCCCTGGTCTAAGATTTAGCTTTGTCACGTTGCTAAGGATGGAGTAGAACTGGCTCGTCAGAGTTTAAAGGTCCTGCAAGCATCAGAAATGCTGTGTTGGGAGAGACTGGCGACACAGTGAACAGCAGACTCCTCTCGAGATCTGTGTTTGTTCCCACGTTTCACTTTGCCATGGGTATTTTAATGGAACAGACCTGGAGTTTTGGAAATTGTTTGCTTAATTATTTTAATAATGCTTAAAAGTTAGACTGTAATTAAATCTGAGTGAGAAAGTGCTGTAGAGATCAAAATCACCTTTGTTGACATAGTTACTGTGATTAGCTCATCTCTTCTTTGTTCTGCTCTATTCAAGTTATGGATGTTTGCACATTTGAAAAAAGACGCTTGTGTAAGTGGTATCAGCCAATCCCGGGACGTTTACTTCACGATTCGAACACATTCAGGTGGGGACTTGGGAATGGGATCGGTATACGTCATGGAGAAGAAAACCATAGGCCAGCTGTAGATCATACAAAGTAAGTGAAGGCATATTTTACACATAGTTATTAAGCAGCTCCCGGGTTTCTGCCTCGACATCTTCTCCTAGGTCTGTGCTGTTGTACACATGAATGTCTGAGAATGAGAGGGAAGAATGTATTCTTTCATTCAGGATTTTAAAAATCAATTTAAAAAGCAGTGAATGGTCTTATAAATGTCATAGCAGCCAGAAAAAGCATGAATAAGCAAACAAAACTAACTTGTAATAGTTATTCTTTGAAAAACACTTTGAAAAACACTGTTAATATGTTCTAAAAAGTATCATTTCATCCTTCTGTTCACCAAACCCCTCCATCTTCTCCTGCTTTATCATTTTTTATACCTTGACTTTCCTTCTTTTCCAATTTGCCTTTCTCCTGTTCTCTCCCTTTCATTGTCTTCTCACAGTTTTATTTCCGTTTCGCACGTATGAACATAAATAAATGTACATATCTTTTACACACAGAGGTGTATGAGCAAATTTTATCGCATTGCAGAAAACCACGCCATTAAATTTGTCGTCCTACATACTGTGCATTTTAATGGGAGGGCATTCATTAATTTGCTAATCTGTTTCCAGGGTTGGATTTCATAGTTCATTTCATTTTCCCCAATATTATGAAGTTGCCTTTGATGAAAACATAGTTCCTATGTGTAAGAAACACTATTTTCTAGTGGAGATATATCAGTTAATGAAACAGATAATCATTGCTTGCTTCAGGGACCTGAATGTGAGCCAGTAAATACAGAGCATCACAGGTTGGGGTGAGGGCTATAAAGAAAAATGGAAACGGGCCAGGGATGCAGCTCAGTGGTTCCTCCGCCTGCCTCACAAGCCCAAGGACCTGAGTTTGGTCACTGGAATAAAAAAAACAAAAAAAACCCAAAAAACCAAAAAACCAAAAAAACGAAAAAAAACACAGGGGTTAGTGAGTGATGGGCGGCTTCCTACATGGAAAGAATCTGACTGAGCTGTGCAGGAAGACCAGTGTGGCAGGGCAGACTAAGCTAGAGCAAACTGGGTGTTAAATAGAAATATTTTCTGTGTCGTATTGACTGATAATTCTTTTGTTTTAACTCTTTTTTTCACTTTTGGTCATGGATGGCTTTGCAGTCATGTTTTCTATATTTATGGTGAACTCTGCTGTTTATTGACTTCAGTTTTATGTATCATACTTTGCAAATTAATTTTAATCACAGTGGTTACATGCACATGATCTTTTAAAAAAAGACACTTGACAGTGGTATAATGACACATGGTGGTGTTTTTCTTGCAGCTCTAACCTGATTCCCTGGAAATACCTTTGTATGCCCTAAGATTGGATACTTACTAATCTGTGATTTTCTAAATTTGAGCTGATCATACGTAGCTGGTTCGTATTTGTAAAATGTATACCCATGGCTGGCTGTCAAAACTTCAGACATTATCGATTTCTCATTTTGAGGAATGGAACCTCTACTCTCCTCCTCAGCCTCCTTTCAGCTCCGCCCATCTTTCCAGTGTTCTCATGCACAATTTCGTGTCATTTTTAAAAACTTATTGGTATTGATTGTTCTTACACTTCAGAGCTAGATGTTGGATGATTGTTCCTGTTTGTTTCCATTGAAGTTAATAATTGCTAAAGCGGTTTACTTTCCTTAGATGTTTAATGAACTCAGTATTTTTTCACAATATCAAAGATACTTTACATCTGTTCCAGTGTATAGGGTAAGTCATTTCCCTATCATCCCATTTTCTGAAAGGCTTCATCTCAAGAATTTAGCCCATTTGTCCTTTCAGGTCTGCTCTAATCTGTTATATGGCAGTTTTCCCTTCCCTCATGTATGGTGCCGAGTTCCTAGATTCCTAAATATTGTGGTGTCTTCTTTCATGGTTAAGGCATTTACTTTCCATACTCTATTTTTCTATGCTACATTGCATCATTCATTTGGGTGTTGCTGGTGTGTATTAGAGATTTTTCTCCTTTCTTTGGTAATCCTTGAGTCTCCGTTAATGTTTGAGTAAAGCTCTTAAAAGTTACCCTGTAGGTCTATGTATGGGGCAAGTAGCCATATGTGCAAGTCTTCCCTGTGAGGTGATACAATCTCCATTTTATTGGATGTCTCTATGGTGACTTTATATATGTTTTCCAATTCAAAGTAGTCAGATTTCCCTTTTCCTAATATTTTCTTCTTTATATGCTGTATTTAGGAAACAAAGCTTTCTGGTCTTAAAATTATATCATCATATAAACTATAGTTGCCCAAAGAGTGTGTATATCTGTGTGTGTGTGTTATTCATTTTAGTTTTTTAGGGGACTGATGGGATCAGAAATTATTATACTGGTAGAAGTATTATTTGGTCTTAGGATAAAGTTATTCTTTATAATTTAGAGAGCAAGAAGAAAGAATGTATTATGAATTTTAAAACTTTAGACAATTAAGCGATCCTAATAGTATTTTCACATCGAATGCATTTCCCGTTTGAATTCTCCAGCCTTCGTCTTTCGCTCGCTCATCTTTCCCTGGCTTCCTTTTCACTTATTTTCTCATCTCCTATACAAAGTTTCCTCGTTCCTGGCCCCTGTGCATTTGCATTCTGATAAATGTTTTACCTTGGGACTTTGTTAATTCCTTTTGTCTTTTGTCATCGTTGTGCTTCTTGCTGTGCCTCTGCTCTCCTAAGATTCCGTCAGTACCGAGTCCACACGAGTCCTGAGTGCCCGGTTCCCACGAGATCCCACCTCTCCTCCTGTCATTCTGATGGTTCCAGGAAAAGTCGTGGCAGATAATAGAAGAAAAGTCCACTTATTTCACAGAGGCGATTTTAACAATGAGCATACTTCTTACCCACTTCTCCCCAGCAAGGACTCCACAAGCCCTAGCTTCTCTGACTGCTGTTTTGAAGCAAAGCAATGGTGTGTGAGCTGCCTGCTCTCTGGTCTTAGCTGTATTCAAAGGGGGTCGTACCATTAGCAACCACTCGTTTCCTCTGGGTGATTTTTTTTTTCTGCTTCTCTGTGCTTCAATCATTTGTTTAAGTGATAGGAGCACAGCTGCCCAAAGTATATGTAGCAGGCAGGAGCTCTGTTTTATTTTTATTTTCTTTGGTACCGGGGATCGAACTCAGGTCCTTGCGCTTGCAAGGCAGGCCACCGAACCGCTGAGCTAAATCCCCGGCCTGTCTTACTTTAGACGCGTTTTGTCTATTGTCATGTCATCTTTTGAAATCGCCACGTACAAGTTTTCTTTGAGCTGGTTCTGACTCACAAAAATCAAAGGGTAATTTCCAAAGTTTCTCTGGTTTATGAACATAAACCGCATCACACATCATTAACCATCTCTATTAAGGTAAAGATAAAGAGCCCAGACTCGATTCTCACACATAAGCGGTAAAGTGCAAATAGAAATATTTCTGCATATTATACAAGCCAATAGCTTGTTTGTGTCTTCCCTCACCCGACCACCTGCAACTGACTGAAAATTCCGAGGAACCCCAGGGACTATCGTTTCTCCATTTGTTGCCTTATTTTTAGACATCTGGTGTATGATAGGTCTCAATACTTTTTTTATTTTTGGTACCGGGGATTGAACTCAGGCCCTTTTGCTTGCAAGGTGGGCAGAAGAACCACTGAGCTGAATCCCTGGCCAAGGTCTCAATGCTTGTTAAATTAATTAGCTGCTGATTAGGGTTGATATAGTTATGCTTTCTACTACAGGTTGTAAAGCACAAGCTAGTTCATGTGTTATCTTTGGCAGATGTTCTCTGCATCCTAGTGAATCACGGGAAAAGTATAGCCCCTCTGCATACACCTCCTCCTTTCTCCCGCTCTCCTGCTCTCTGCGCTCCGTTTTCCCCTCGGGAAGTTTTGGTATTTGGTAAGAGTACTCCTGTACCCTAACTTTCAACTTGTGACTTACAGTAAAACTGCACACTCAGTTTTTCAAACTTTGTTTTCCTGTTAAGGAGAAGCTTTGTTAATTTGGAAAATGCTTTTCTCTCTCTGGTGTCTGGTCCAAGCAATTTACAGAGAGATTTTGAATTCATTGTTTCTGAAAGAGTTCTCAGTGCCATTTTTGTAAATCAAAAAGAATTTATGCCAGTTATTTCTTTCTGTTCACATTCCACTCTCTCAGTTCTCCCTCAGGCAAAGATTGCTTTTGGATTTGTGTAGGAAAGATCATTTATAAGCAAGTACACGAGAAAAGCATATTAATATATCTTAGAATATTCTACCCCTTTAAGCATTTACTGAAGCAATGAAAAGTCATGGTGGTGTAGGAATATGTGGTCCTCAAATCCATTTTATTTCCCTAAATGCCCATGATGTGGTTGTTAGATGAAATGTTAGAAGCATGAACTCATCTGCTGAGGCAAAAGCAAGTTCTCTCCACCTCCTCATTTATATACAGTGATGCTTAGTAGAGAACCTATGCGTATTCAGTGCGAGTGGTTTTTAATCTGCTCGTGGAAAATTTTGGGGGGGATTTCTTAAAATGTGGATCAAGGACCATTGAAAATGTATTCAATATGCACACAATATTTAAGTGCAGATTTTGAAACACTTGAATCAAAATTTATGGAGACAGAGTTGGGAGTCTCTATGCTTACTACCATTTCTAGGTAGTTCTAGAACCTAATACTGAGGATTAGAACGGCATTTCTGGAGGAAAGTAGTTTTCTCACCTCCCAATTCCAATTTTGATCAGCATAGATTAATTTTCTATAATTATAGAGACAAAATTTTAAGAAGAAAATTTTTTAAATGGAACAAAAAGTTGCTCTAGGGTAATTGCATTTAAAAATAAAATCACATCTATATTGTAAAGTAACATATAATTGAGAAATAGTTTGGGAGAAAATGCTTTATGTGAATCAACCTATACAGCATTAATTTCCAGGTACCCTTTAGCTTGACTTACTCATTGTATGATGCCAAACATGTTTTTTTTCAAACATTTTGCCTGCAATTTTCTTCTTCAATTCTGATCAGAACGATAGTCTCTCTGTTGTTTTGAC